TATTCTAATAATGAGTGTCAGAAGAAGAAGTAGAAAAATAATTCCTTTTGCAATTGCAACAAAAGAATAAAATACCTAGGAATAAATCTAACGAAACATGTGAAGGACCTATATAATGAAAACTACAAGACCCTATTAAAAGAAATCAAAGAAGATACAAAGAAATGGAATGATATTCTGTGTTCTTAGATTGGAAGAATCAACATAGTCAAAATGACCCTATTACCTAAAGCATTATACAGATTTAATGCAATCCCCACCAAATCCAATCGGCACTTTTTAAAGAAATGGAACAAAAAATTATCAGATTTGTATGAAAGCACAAAAGACCCCAAATTGCCAAAGCCATCCTGAGAAAAAAGAACGAGGCTGGTGGCATCACTCTGACTGATTTCAAATTACACTAGAAAGCGACAGTAATCAAAACTGCATGGTACTGGTAGCAAAACAAAATAGTCATGGGGATATAAAGTACAGTATAGAGAATATAGTCAATAATATTATAATAACTATGTATAGTGTCGCTGGGGGGTACTAGATTTATTGGGAGGATCAGTTCATAAGCAATATAAATGTCTAACCACTATGTTGTCCACCTAAAATTATATACAAGTAGATCACCATCAATAATTTATATTATGTGAAAATATCCATCACAGGCTAAAAAATGTGGACTTTTCAAGGATTTGTAATGTACCTTCAAACCAGGATTGCTATAAACATATCCTATCAAGCATGAACTAATGTGGCCATTTTAAAAAAAGAAAGCTAAACATGACCTTCCTGACAATCTACTAAAGAGAATATAAATGTACAGGGCATCATAAAAGTAGGGTTTAGTTTTAGCCATCTCTAAAAAAGCAGCAGAGCTATTAAAAATTTTTAAAAAGCATGTTACTATATTAAAATAAAAAATACTATACTAATAAAGAGTTAATAACCCTTTTTAAAAACTGATCTCCTTGGAAAATTTACCACAGTTAAATTACAAGTCTATTTGTTGTTACTAATATCACAGTAATTTGAAAAAAATTTGCCTTGATTTAATTGAATTTAGACACAAAAAGTACCAGCTCTTTAACTTTATAACAGGAGAAACATTTTTTCTAAATATTCTTTCCTCGGACTCATGTATTTTCACTTCAAGTTATCAGACATATGACATTTCCATTATATTTCTATACCAAAAGAGTCTGATTTAATTTTAAGTGATTAGTTTATTGCTCTCCTAAGGCATTCTTACGGATCATAAGTCCTACAATATGCTGATTCTAAAAAAAATACAATTTCCAAGAAACAGACTCTGATCACTATATATAGACATTGAGTCAGCAGAAAACCTTATTAACTAGCAATAATTCAAATATTTGAGAAAATATTTGTATCTGGCTGTATTAACTAGCCAATTATAACATACATCTATACAAGAGCAGTCTAAAACAATAAAATGTTGTTATAATATGTAACACAATAATATACTTTATTGTCAATAATGGTCAAATTTCTCCTCTTCTACATAAAAAGTGTAAAGTATAATACATAAACAGCCAACATATTTGAACTTATAGGTTAGGAAAGTCTTTAAAATGCCACAATTCAAATTTCATAATTCAAATCTCACTACAATCAATTCAATGAGACTATCCAAAGCCTATTATTCAGAAATCTGCCTCTGTCAAATAATTAATTTTAATTTGGAAATGCTTTCTATAGAGATTTTTTATTGTCACATCATTTGGAGAAGTAGGGTTTGAGCCATATAACAGAAACTGACTTCACAGCAATTTATCAGGTAAACAAGCTCCTTACAGCTAATGACTATATGCATTAAGACAGAACAGAAAAAGCTGTACATGAATATGTTACCCACTTATAATGGGGAATTTCACCAACATAAATCTAACAAAAAAACAGAAGTCCATTTTTATCTCCAATAAAAGAATTGCTGGCAAGCATTTTAACTATTATGACTTAAACCAATGTGGAATTTCAAATATGAAATACTTTTAGTTTCCATCAGATGAAAATAACCAACATTTTCATAGAAACAGAATGGAAGCGGTACAGTTCAGTTCTGAATAGGACTGTCCTGTTCATCTCACCAGATTGATCAGCCTTCTCATCGCATGTTCATGAGAACACACACATTCACAGGGATCGAATCCACCTTCTGCCATAATTATCCACCTTGATTTAACTTGACTGTTTAAATCTGGGAGGAAGGAAAAAATATTATAAGACTACTATTCAGAGTTACTCTTTCGAGCTATGAAAATTTCAAATATTGTACAGATTCACAAGTTCTCTCAACCTAGTTCATATTTATGCATGATCTATATGTATAAATTTACTAATTTTATATGATTAATTTACTATATGAATTATGAAACTATACAAATGATTGGCTACCCCTTCTGCCATTTGATTTCCTATAAAATCAGTTAGATGCTCTGTACTGGCCCTACCTGTGAAGCTGATAGTGCCAGAGCTCTACTCTGCCTAATTTCTTAATTCTTTAATTTTGTTAGGTACTTCTATGGATTGAATGTTTATGTACCACTTAAAACTCCTATGTTGAAGCCTTAATTCCCAATGTGATGTTATCTGGAGGTAAGGCCTTTGGGAGGTGATTAAGTAATAAGAGTAGAGCCCTCATGAATGGAATTAGTGCTCTTAGAGAAAAGATATGAGAGAAATGATCTCTCTTCTCCACCATGTGAAGATACAGAAAGAAGGCATTAGTCTACAAAGCAGAGAGAAGGTCCTTCGCCAATGAATCTGCTGGCACCTTGACCATGGACCTCTCAGACTCTAGAACTATGGTATTTTGCCATAGCAACCCAAACAGTCTAAGACAACTTTGCAGCCTTTATCCCACACCAAGAAAACCCTCTGAAAGAAAAAAATGAGTTATGTAAAATGATACCAAGGGTTAAATTTGGGGGAAGGGGGGACGATGAATTAACATTACTTAAGATGAAATAGCCTGAAAATAGCTGAGGTTTTATTTATTTATTTTTTATTTATTTATTTTTAGGCGAGGCAACCCTTGGTTGACCTCACAGATTGCAAGGACCTCGTCAGCTTACAATCCTTTATTTTTTATTTTTTTTTCATGCCTACAGCACCTGGTCTTCCTAGGTAGTCTCCCATCCAAGTACTAATCAGGCCCGACCCTGCTTAGCTTCCGAGATCAGACAAGATCAGGCTTGTTCAGGGTGGCATGGCCGTAGACTGGGAAGGTTTTAAAAAATAAGATTAACAAGCAAGAAGACAAGATGGACTACTATTGATATTTAGGATCAAATAGATCAATGGAACAATTCAGAAATCAACTTAAAGGAACTTAGTTCATTCACTCATTCAAAAAATATTTAGCTGATGAATGGACAAACAAAATGTGCTACACATTAGAAATATAAAAGTGAGCAAAAACTGATATAGTTCTTACCCTAATGGTGTTCACATTCTAATGGTGGAGACAGATACTAATCTAAATACTTTTCAAACTACAATATAAACTTATAAATACCATAAAAGATAAATGAACCAAAAGACCATAAAGACAACCCACAGAATGAGAAAATATTTGCAAATCATATATCTGATAAGGATTTACTATCCAGAATACATAAAAAACCTCACTAACTCAATTACAAAAACCGCCTAATTTAAAAATGGGCAAAAGTCCTAAATAGACATTTCTCCAAAGATACACAATAAGTAGATGAAAAAAAATGTTCAATGTTATTAATCATTAGAGAAATACAAATCAAAATCACGATACAATTTCACTCCTATTAGGATGACTATAATCAAAAAAATGGAAATATGTGGAGAAATTAGAACCCTCCTTTATTGCTGGTGGGATTGTAAAATGGTGTACTCTCTCTGGAAAAGTTTGATGGTTCCTCAAAAAGTTAAACAGATAATATCAATAACCCAGTAATTCCACTTCTAGGCATATACCCCCAAAATTTGAAAATTGAGACTCAACAGATACTTATCTGTTAAAAGGTAGAAACAACCCATATGTCCATCAACTGACGAATGGACAAACGAAATGTAGTATACACATATTATTCAGCCATAAAAAGGAATGAAGTTGATACATGAATGAACCTTGAAAATATTATGCTAAGTAAAATAAGTCAGACACAAAGGACAAATATTGTATGATTCCACTTACATGAAATATCTCCAATAGGAAAATTCATATAGACAGAAAGTAGAATGGTGGTTGCCAGGTGCTGGGGGAGAGGGAAATGGGGAGTTATTGCATAGTAAGTACAGTTTCTTTTTGGCGTGATAAAAGTTTTGGAAATACAGTGGTGACAGTTGCACAACAATGTAAGTGTAACCAATGCCACTGAATTGTATACTTCCCCTCCCCCAAGTTTCATTCCTGAGGTTCTTCTTTTTTATTAACATTATTGGGGTGACACTGGTTAATAAAATCAAATAGGTTTCAAGTGTACAATTCAATAATACATCATACATATATTACATCGTGTTCACCCAAAGTTAAATTTCCTTCCGTCATCTAAAATTTGATCACCTTTACCCCTACTACTTCTCCCCTCCCCAACTTCACTCTGGTAACCACTAATCCACTGTTCATGTCTATGAGTGTTTGTCATGTTTGCTGCTTTCAGTTTTACATGCCACATATGAGTGAAATCATCTAGTTCTCAACTTTTTTTGACTTATTTCACTTAGCATGATAATCTCAAGATCCATCTATTGTCCCAAATGGCAATATTCCATCTTTTCTTATGGCTGAGTAATATCTCATTGTATGTATGTACCTCATTTTCTTTATCCAATTATCCAATTTAAACAACTGAAGGGCATTTCAGTTGTTTCCATATCGTGGCCGTGAATATTGCTGCTGTGAACATCTAGGTGCATGTATTTTTGCGGATAAATGTTTTCAAGTTTTTTGGGTAAATACCCTGAAGAAGGATTGCTGGGTCATATGGTAATTCTATTCTTAGTTTTTTGAGGAACCTCCATACCGTTTTCCATAGTAGCTGTAACAATTTACATTCCCACCAGCAATGTATTAGGGTTCCTTCTCTCCCACAACCCCTCTAATACTTATTACTTGTCCTGTTGATGATAGCCATTCTAATAGGTGTGAGGTGGTATCAGGTGGTTTTGATTTGCATTTCCCTAATAGCTAGTGAAGCTAAGTATCTTTTTGTATATCTGTTGGCCATTTGTATGTCTACTTGGGAGAAGTGTCTGTCCAGGTCCCCTGCCCATGTTTTTAATTGGATTGTTTGGTTTTTTATTGTTGCGTTGTATGAGTTCTTCATATATTTTGAACATTGGGCCCCTATCGGAGGCGTTGTTTGCAAATATCTTCTCCTAGTTGGATAGTTGCCTCTTCTGTCCTATTGATGGTTTCTTTTGCCGTGCAGATTTTTTGATATAGTCCCAATAATTGTATACTTTAAAAAATGGTTAAAATGCCAACATTTAAAAAAAAAAATCACTCTAGTTGTCCAGCACTGGGAGTCTTGGGGAGAAATAGGGAGTGACTACTAACTGGTATAGGCTTTCTTTTGGGGTGAAGAAAATGTTCTATAATTGATTATGGTGATGGTTACACAACTCCATGAATATACTAAAAGCTATTGCAGTATTGCAGTGTACACTTTAAATGGTGCACTATATGATTTATCGCTCAGTAAAGCTGTTAAATTTTTTTAAAGGTAAATGGTGCCTAGAAAGCGTATATAGGTTCTAAACCTACCTAGGGAGTTAGAGAAGATTTTAACCAAATTAACTCAGAGTTGAAAATAGAAGG